TGGAAACGGCTGGGAATAAAAATTGAAAAAATTGAAATACATCTTCTTGAAGGCACTGGAGAGAGAACAAGCCAGTTAAAACCTGTATCAAGATCTGAGAGAAAAAGGAAACAGAGAGGGGCCCATGTTTCAGGTAGCAGCACTTTTTAGAAGAGAAAGACAAGAAGCTAATTAGAACATCTGACAGACTCAGGGCACTAAGGGAGCAAAAACTAGAGCCAGGGACTCAAGAAGGGAAGATATAGTAAACCTCTTACATTTTGGGTTGGTTATGCTCATACAAAGAGTTTTGCTCAAAATGTAAAAATACACCAGAAGGTCTCACCTATGCTCAAAGACTGAATCTGAACTCAGAATTACCCATACCCCAGAAAGTGAATGAAGTTTATCCTAGATTGCTAATGCCACCGATTGTCGACCACAGGCAAGCAGGCATCCTCTCTGAAAGATAAGTCAAAAGATAATTTTCAGAGTGAAGCATGGGGAGAAAATAAAATGCAATATACAGAAATAAGCGAGAGATATAGAGAAGATATAAAGAAAAGATTTGAGATGTGTGTAATTGGAATTCTAGAAAAGGAGCGAGAGACTTCAAACCAAAGATTCAAGAAGATCCACAAACTCCAAGAGACTAATCACAGAGAAAACTACATCATGATTATAATGTACAACTTGGTACATCATACTAATGCCAATGAAAGCCAAAGACAAGGAGAAAATCATAAAGTCATCTAGAAGGAAGAAAAACAGATTGCAGTCACATGCTGCATAATGATGTTTCAGTCAATGATGGAACACAGATACGACAGTGGTCCCGTAAGATGATAATGGAGCAGAAAAATTCCTATCACCTGGTGACATTGTAGCCTGGTCCCAATAAACTTCCAAAATGTTTGTTCTTTTCTAATCCCTTTTTGGAGAATTCTCTCTCAGGCTAGAAAGTCTTTCAATCCTGTTTACTGATCTTATTAATTCATAAAAAGTGTAGAAATGAAAATAAATTAGTATAATATTTGATATTAAAATATGTTTTAAATGATGTGGCTTATTCCATTCCTTCATGCATAGGTGAATTAGAATAAGTTTTGAGTGCAAGCTCTTTGAAGGTTGGAAGGTTTTCTAACTGTCTGTTATGGAGCCCTTGCACTCTAGCCAGCAAATGCAGGAATGCAGAACATGCTGAAAAGAAGACATGATTTTGCACTCTGATGACCCCGTGAGTCTGTGAACAGTTTAAGTATTCTGCCCCATACCTGCAGTGTATATTTTCTCCAGATGTGTTTAGGATATGTTCTACCATAAACATGCTTAAAAGGAAGACAGAGATTGCCCCTGGGTTAAGAGTGGTTCTGAGTGGTATTGAGTTAGCAGATTCAGGAAGGCCATTCTAAGTGGCTGCAGTATCCCGTGGAAGCAGGTGCACCCTCTGCAAACACCTCATCAGACTTTCTGATGAGGCTGCATGAAAATGCAATAAGAAATCTTTGTGGCAGCACCATAACGACCACCACTGCAATTTTCTAGGCAAAGGCAGGCGTGGGCAGGATTATTCCACTGGGAGAATACTACTCCTGTGTTCTGAGCAGACCTCTTGCTCATACCACGTGGAGCATCAAACAGTCTAAATCCCAGCTTTAGAAGTTCAATATCATTTTACTCAATGCATCACAGGGCAGTTTTCTCGGTGTGTACACTATTCCTTAGTGATACCCTCATGTCCCTGCTGGCTCTCACTACCCACCCAAGGTGAGCACCTTAGCATGTTCTCTACAGGGGACTGCATGGACATTTGCAGGACACGTTGAGACAGAGGATAAAGCAGCACTGTATGAAAATGGGCCTGACTGGCATCTTAAACACTCAGTCTTTCTATCTACTTTTCATGTGCATGGCTCTCAGAGGCGGGGGCAGGAAGGAGGCATGTTGGTGACGACCTTGACTCATTGTTCACTTACTCAAGACACTGCCACACAACCCATGTCCAGCAGTACTCAAGACAGGGGTGGGAGGATATGTCCTTGAAGGCACAGGCACCGTGAGCTGTGAACAGAGCTAGGAGGTGGTCAGTACAGCACTGGACATGCACAGCAGCCACCTTGCCCAGTCTGGGGGTAGGTCATGGGCTGAGCAGGTCAAAAGGTTCCCCAGAGGAAGTAGCATCTAGATGAAGCTAAGGAATGAGCTGGCACTGGCCACGAGAATGGGAGGCCGGTGGCTGTGGGTAGGGAGAGTTCAACCCATCCCCTGGCTTCTTGGTGGTTGTCACAGGACCGGGGCTAATTTCTACCCACTGCTTGTTGTCCAAGTTATATGGATAGCTCTGCCTTCACTTAGCATTTTCAACCCAGAGTTTGCAGTGTTTGTAACGCCTCATAGTTTATGAAGCACTTTCATTTATTTTCTCAATTACAACGCAAAGCATTCAGTAAGTACAAAGCTCCTGAGACAGCACTGCATGTGGTAAAATACACATAGTTGTAATTTAGTAAAACCTCAGCAAGAAGAGACTGAAGAACAGAAGATACCATCTCAGTCTTCAGATACTTGACACAGAGATGACAATGAAACCCTGGCCAGGGAAATATTCACTAGATATTATCAGGAGAACATGATCGTGTCTAATGAGGCAAGGCTAACTGCAGGTGGCCTAAGTTCCTGGACTGCCAGGGCTGGCTGCTAGCCCAGAGTGGGGAGAAGGTGGCTTACTTTTGGGAGGAGAACAGTGCCACCTCCTCTGGTCTTCCTCTTTCCCCTTCCTTCCTGCCTCCAAGGCCATCCATAACTCTTGTGTGCACAAGGATGAGCGTCTCCTATGTTATGAAACATTGATTGGTTAAATTCACCCTCTGTCTTTTGACTTTTCAATAACCAGTCCCAGAGAGCATCTCCTTCTCAGGTGATCCTTCCTCCCCATCCAAGTTTATCAATCCTCTACAGTTATGGAGAAAAGGGGTACACATGATGATGGTACTTCCTTGGATGACCCACTGCTGTGAGTCACGCCAATCATGCCAGCACAGCCAGTGTCCCTGAAGGACTCCAAGTGGATGCAGGACTCACCTGTGGCAAAGACGACATTCCTTGAGACCAGACGATGCTCCACAATGGAGAACTGAGGGAGCTCAATCCTTTCCACTCCAGTGACAGCCTTGTCCCCGCCACGCCAGTAAAATTCAATGTCATCTGTGGTGTAGCCATCTGTCAGGAAAGAGAAGGAGAGAGATGGCGGGTATGAAACATCATCATTTCGTATAAATGCATGGCTAAATAAATTGTCATTAATAAAATGGAAGTAATGGCTTTGCCATATTTGAAGTAGATTTGCTTAATGTGTTTGTCTATGAGAAGTGCCATCAAAGAACTAACTTTCAAATATTCTTGTGTTTCCTCTATTATTTGATTTGTACCAGGCTGGTACTGAAAAGTAGTGAAGCTATGGAGACTGGGCCCTCTAGCCAAAGTTCTGTTTGCAAAGTATAACTTTAGAGCTGGCCCAGAAATCACATAGAGATGAATTGAAAATATACCCTAAGTGCAATGAATAAGATAGTTGTAAAAGAAAATGAGAATGCAAGTGTGAAGAGTCTGCAAAGGCAAACTCCTCTCAAGAGCTACTGAAAAGCTCAAAGACTGAGGGTGAATTTAGCTCATCAATGGTTGATTATATGAAGGACTTGCAGAGAACAGTAGCATTCTCCTCGGCATTTTTGGATGGTTTCCTCAGCTCTTCCTGGCCATGGTTTGCCAACCTTAGAAATATCTTTTGTTGGGATACTACTGACCCTTAGAGATTTTCAAAAGTGGTTTCCTCGGAAGGAGGGGTGGTCACTGGCTGGATTATAGCTCCAAACCCAGCTCTTAGCGCAGTGCTTATGCGAGTGCTTCATTCAGTGCGGAATCATTGCTTCTTAAGAATGACTAAATAGGGCAATAAATTTGGATGTGACTTGTAACACCCAGGAGTCTCCTAAGAGATTAGGTCGACTTTATCCATAAGATCAATTAGAACTCAGATCTGGAGAAAAACATCATATCAATATAACACACCTTTGATTTGAGCATATAATACAACAAAAAGGTATTAGCCCAATATTTGTTGTTAGACAAACAAATAAACCAAGGCCATGAGGATGACTGTCCCTCATGGCTAATCCCATCTCCCTATTCCTCTCTGTTGTCCTCTCTTTAATAAAATACACAGCTTACTACATGGTAGGTGGCATAGTCCTCTGCTTAAAACCCTCAAATGTTTCCTAACACAATTAGCAAAGCAAGCCCAAACTCCTTGCAAGGACCTCAAGAA